GCAGCCCGCCCGGCGCCCCTTACCTTCTTGCCGCTGCCGTCGCGAGGCTCCGAGTCCGCGAGGCTGGCGCCCCGGGCCGGGGGCAGGGCGGCCGTCCTGTGGCCCTGTGTGAGGCACGGCCCGCCGGACGGCGGCGGCCCCGCGGGCCCCAGAGCGACCTCGGCCTCCTTGCCTCGGTACACCGCCCGGGCCTCGGAAATGCGGATGCTGGGGGCGCAGCCCATGCCGGCGGTGGCGCCGCGGACACGCTGGCGGGCAGCCGCGATCCGGTTAGCAAACTGCCCGCTTGGCGCCTCGGGTCCGCCGCGGGCGCCCTGTCATCGCCGCCTGGCGGGCGGCAGCCGTGAGCGCGGGTCTCGCGTGAGGAAGCGCGGCCGCTTTCACCGCGCTGCGCGCGTGGGGCTGAGGAGGGGGCGCTGGGGCAGGCGGCGCGTCGCCGTCGCCCCTCCGCACATGCCCTTCCTGAGGGGGAGCCGCCGCCGCCTCCCTCACATCGCCGCGCTCGCTGGGGCCGCGCTGCCCGGGAATCACCGGGCGGAGATTTGCGCTCCCCTCACCCGAGCCGGGGAGTCCGCGCCGCCCCAGCGACCCGCAAAGGAGGGAGCTCCGCCGCCGTCGCCGGGCCCTACTGCACCTCACTGTGGACCCCACACCGCCCGCCTGCTGGCCCCGGAGGAAGCCGCCCTGGGCAGAGCCCGTGGGGACGAGGCTAGCCTAGACGCTCCCGCCGTCCGGCCGTGGAGGCGCGCGGCCCTCAGGACGCCGTCGGGGCGGCCAGGCCGCGTCCGCTGGAGCGGGGAGGGGAGCGCCTGGGCTGCCCCGCCTGGCCGCGCCGTCCAGCAGCGCTGAAGCCGCTGCGCGCACGCGGGAGTCGCGGGTGTGGCTCCCGCTCCGCGATCCGGGCCGGGTCCTGCCAGCGGCTCTCCGCGCCCGGCCCCCAGCGGCCACCTCTGGCGAGCGCCCGCGTCTACGCCAAGCAGCTCGGGCCGCCCCCTCGACTGAGCATGCGCGCGGCCGCGGGCGAGGGTGCTTGGCCTGGTCGCCCAGAGAAGTAAAGGGACCTGCTCAGGGACACACAGCCACCCCCGGCGCGGGGCCGCCAGACCGCCGGGATGGAACCCTGCTGTGTAACTTAGCAGCTGCGTGCCCTCGCTCAGGTCACTGTATCCGAGCCTGTATCTGAGTCACCTATACGAGGCGGGTGCAAGGACCGCCCTGCGGGTGTGAGCGAGGGCGCCGCGCTCTGGTCCCGGCGCGGGTGTGGCGTCTTTGTGGGGAGCCTCGCCTCAGGCTCCGTGGCGTCTGGGCGGCTATGAGGTTAGGCTTCCTGGCAAGGCTGGGCCACCTGCCCTCCGCGTTCGAGACCCCAGAGGCACCTTACTGGCAGGAGCAGAACCGGGGGAGGGGCTGGAGCCTGTGAGCACCTTTGGACAGGTCCTGACACAACACACCGTCCCCAGCTTGCTGTGTGACCTCAGGCCAGTCACTTAACGTCTCTGTGGCTGGGCTCCTCCTCTTCAGCTGGAGGGCGGCTGACCAGGGAACAGGCCACATGAGACCCCTGCCAGCCCTCCCGCCCTCCCTGTGCTTCCCCTTTGCCGGACCCTGGCGCTTTGCTGTTGGTCCCTTTCCTGTCTCTGCCGGGGTCCACACCTGTCCCAGCTTGGCCCAGGAGCGACCCTGAGAGGCCACTGCTCCAGATGTAGGCCAGGCTACCGGAAAGACTTGGAGGCATGTGCAGAGCTTGAGTCCCTGCTTAGCGCTGGGACAGGCTCAGGAACCAGGTCCCCTCTGCACTGGGCGGTTCCCCATGGTGGCCGAGCAAAAACCAGAGACTGCAGAGCGGTTCTGAGCCAGTTGCCCACCTTGCCAGCCAAACTGGCACAAACCACTGGCAGGTGGCTCCGGGACTTAAGCACATTCAGCAACAATAATATCGATGCCTCTGCCATATACAAGCACCACCAGCTCCATAAAGATGTCTTGAAAAACACAGGAAAAGTTGTTTAACATCACCCCTTATTCCACAGAAATTATAGGGTGTTTCCCGCCTTTGATTTCCAAGTTTAGAAGGTAATTTTTTCCACGCAGAATCTGGATCCCTGTGAATAAAGAATAATTCCTGGAGAAAAAGCTTTGAAGCACCGGATTCCAAGGCCAGCCAAAGCACACATCTCCTCCCTGCCCCGGGGAGAAGGGTGGCCTTGACCACTGGGCACTGACCTTGCCGCCCCTGGGGCTTCAGCCTGCTCCAGCCCTCTTGGCTGTGGCTTGCAGACAGGCCCTCCTCATCCCACCTCCCCTTGAAAGTCCTTGAGCCCTGCACTGATGAGGAGGGTGTGTCCCGCCCCCATCTGGCTGGTGCCCTTGGGGTGCCCGGGGCCATCCAGAGCTGGTCCCTTACCCTCTTTGTTCCCAAAAAGCTGTGTTGCTTGATCGCCACCTTTGCAATTTGGGGCCCCTACAAGTACGGTCCTAAGCTAAGGCTAGGAACTGTGCACTTAGGAAGGGTAGGAGTCAAGTGTCTGCTCCTGGGGTCTCAGCCCAGTTTTTCTCATACCCTGAGTTCAGTCTGGGACCCACCAGGAGGTCACAGTTCATTCTACCCCACCCTCCTTCCCTATAACCTCCACCTGAGTGAGGTCCCTGCTCACTCCTCTGCCCTGTGACACCACAGCTTCCCCAGGCTTCAGTGACAGGGGACACGGAAGGGATCAAAGGGATCACACTAACACAACCCAAACCTCACTGGCGTGTGCCCCTCACTAACACACCCAGGTTTCCCAGGACCCTGCAAACAATCCCACCCCTGGGAGGTGACCTGGGAGCTCACGAACAGTCCCAGGCATTTTGGAAGGAAGGCACAGCCACCACGTCACCCACGTGGGAGCCTCACGGCTCCATGGCAGGAAGTAGAACACACTCCATCAGCAGCCCCGTCCACTTCACCCAGGTGTAGCGCCCCCAGCCAGAGCTGCTTGAACCCCCAAGGCTCAGATGGCTAGTTAATGCTTACTCCAGTTCTTACTCCCAGGGACTGGGAAGGAAGACAACCAAGGGACATAGGCCCGGCCCCCCCGTCAGCCCCACATCAGCCCCCACCACGTTTTGTGGGTTCAGGTCGGTCCATTCCCAGGAGACGTCTCAGCCCTCACGGGCCCTCACCGGTTCATCACAAGCACGAAGACGCTGGGTCCCACACAGCTTTGCTCACCTGAAACCCAAACCTGTTCCGTATCGACACCTCTTCTGCTAACATCCATCCTCTGTGTAGCCAGTTCCCCCTCCTGGCTTCACTTCTCCACCCAGAGGGCAGCAATTCACACACTGTGCCCCTGGCACCCAGGTCTTCACCCCTCCTGCTCTTCCCCTAGGCACCTGGGCTGGAGGCGGCACAGGTGGGGGACTCTTCTTGATCTGAATCCCAGCCCCACCGAGTCCTAGACCTTGCACTCCTGACTTCCTCTCTCTCCCCATTCCTCCCCTGCAAATCTAGGATTCCTGCCTACCTCAAAGAAGTCATTATGGTGGCGGCCTCCACGATGGCGCCAGTGCTCCCCTGGTGTTCGGGCCTTCCACCTTGAGGAGGGATGGCCAGTGTAAGCAACAGAACACTACACAAGCCACAGTTTGTGGCTTTCAAGGCTGGGCCATAAAACACACTGTGGATTCTACCTTTTTCTCTCCCTCAGGTCACCCACTCTGGAGAAAGCCAGCTGTCATGTCAAGAAGACACTCAAACTGCTCAGTGGAGAGGCGGTGTAGACGGGAACTGAGGCCACCTGTCGACAGCCTCGTGCATGAGCTGACTTGGCAGTGGAACTTCCAGCCCCAGTCAGGCTTTCAGAGGACTGTGGCATGAGAGACGCGGAGCCAGAGTGGCCGCCTGAGTCTCATCAAAGTAGGCCCTGCTGGACTGACTTCTTCATCCCATCCTCACAAGAGCCACCAACAGGCTTTATTGTTACCTGACATGGCAGAGGAGGAAACTGAGGCACAACCAGAAAGTGGCAGAGATGGGATACAATGAAGCCCTATCTTCGGGGGTTAGCTGGGAGAGATGGGCCAGCTCTGCTTCCCCGTGGGCTTGAGGACTCCCTGGTCTACGCCGCTTGCCCTGGCGCCTTGGTCCCCGGTGATTCCTCAGGCGCTGGCCCTGCCTGTATCTTCCCACCCACCCAGCAGCTGGCCAGAAAGGAAACCCCGACTCCCACTCTCCCTGTATCTGATTCCGCCCTTTGCTCCAGCCTCTCCAGCGCATCTATACCTACCCTGCCTGAGCCCTTAGTCCCTGGCCTGGCAGCCACCCTCGGACTCTCCCACAAACCCAGACAGTCCCCCGGCTGCACAGCTGCGCCTGGAGCCAGTGTCTCCAGGAACGAGGATGCTTTCTTAGAAACAACTATCACCTGGGGCATGATGCCACACCCCTGGGTCTCACAGGTTCCCTTCCCAAGGTGGTGGCCCCAAGGAGGTCCCCATAGAGCAAGTCCCACATAAGGCTGCTGCCAGTGACACTGTCTGGTGCCAGGTCCCTCCTAAGGGTTTAGGCTTATGCAACTCTCCCTGAGATTTACCTTCCTCTTTCTGTACATTAGATTTAGTCTCTACACTCACTATTTTATCTGTGTCTCCATGAATTTTGTGCACTTCATATGTACAGAACAGCTGGGAAGGGAGAGTCAGGGTGTGACACAGGGTCACAGCGTGGCAGAGGGCCAGGCTGTCCTTATCCCTTTAAGAACCAGTGGCTTTCCAATTGCTTTTTAGGAAGGGGAGTGTTTTGTTAATGGAAATGAGAGGAGAACCACTCTGGCTGAAGCCTTGGTGAGGTGGGGGTAGGAACTTCTCCATGACGGCAGCCACTCCCTCCCCAGCACCCACACCTGGCACCGCAGGAAGCAGGTCCCAACACCTGAGTGTCCTCTAAGGCTTCAGCTACTGTATCAGTTAGGATTCGGTGCAGCTGCATGTGACAGATAATCCAAAATAACAGAAGCTTAAACAGATAGAAGTTTATTTTTCTCCCGGATAAATGACAGCCTAAAGTCATTAACCAGAGATCCAGGCTCAGGACCCCTCTCTACAGAAATAATTTGAGTCACATGAAATCAACGTCCCAGTGCCATCCAAGCAGCAGTCTTGTGAGATCCTCAGTGTGTGGCTTCCACCCCGTGCTTCTGAGATGGCCTCTGTCACACCTGCGGTCTAGCCAGAGGGAAGGAGGGAGGGCCGGAGAACATGACCAACTCTCCTGGCTGGCCCGGGGTGTGGGACTTCCAGTGCTAAAACCAGTAAGGTCTCAGGCACACGGGGACAACCTGGTCACCCTGGGAGAAGGACATGGCCCCTCTCTTAAGGGCACTTTTTGGAAGTTAGACAACGTGTTGCTTTCATCCCATTGGCCAGAACTTAGTTATATGCCGTCATCTATTGCAAAGGAGACCAGGAAAGATTTTCTTGTGGGTGGCCGTATGGTCACCTGTGCACTTAGTGTTAGAAGGGTCAGGCACACTGGCTCATGCTGGTAATCCCAGCACTTTAGGAGACTGAGAAAGGAGGATTGCTTGAGTTGGAGTTGGAGACCAGTGTGGAAAACATAGCAAGACCCTGTCTATAAAAAAATTAGGCACTGACCTCCTCAAAAGAAGGGGGAGACTTCTTCCAGCCCTCCCGGGGCTCTGCCTGTGCATCCCTGGAGCCCAGGGACCTGGGCTGTGGTGGGGCAGCCACAGTCCTGCTGAAACAGAGGAGCCATTCTCCCTCCACACCACACACCACCACCACCCCTGCTGCAGAGGCTGCGGCCAGTGCATCCACCCCACCTGGTGGAGGAAGGGAGATTGCAGCACAAGGCTGTCAGGATTTTCCCAACAGTTCCATGTTGGAAAGAATCGCTACTTTGCTACTTACTTTACTGTTACAACACAGTCCTCAGTTTCATCTTCAAAATCCAGGTATTCCAGAGCCAGACATCATTGATTCCGGTTCTGGGGCTGTTCCAGTTATCTGTTGCTGGGTAGTAAACCATCTCAAGCTGAGGTGCATACAACAACCCCCATCAACTGCGCTGTTGCATTCATTGTCTCGGGAATTTGGATGGCACACTATAGGGGTGGCTGGTCTCTGTTCCATGACTTTGGAGGCCTCAGATGGGAAGACTCGAATGGCTGTGGGCTGGAACCACCCAGAGGCTTCTTCACTCATGTCTAGCACGTGAGCTAGGATGACCTGAAGGCTGGGCTCAGCCAGGACTGTTGACCCAGTGCCCATGTTACTCCTTCATGTGGCTTGGGCTTCCTCACAGCATGGCAGCCTCAGGGTAGTGACACCTCTCATGTGATTTCATCCGGTGCCAAGAGTGAGAATCCCAGTGAACAAGGCCAAAGCTGCCTGGCCTTTGAGGACCCAGCCTCAGAAGTCACACAGCCTCATTCCTACTGTGCTATGTTGGTCAAAGCAGTCACAGTCTGCCCAGATTAGCAGGGAGAGGATGTAGACCCGACTGTTCCATGGGAGGAGTGTTAGAGAATTTGCAGCCACTGAGAGCCAATATTATTAATTAGCATAAAAGCAATTTAAAGTATTTTACACATACACGTGTACGTTGGGTAGATTAACAGGGAAGCCAATGTATTATGATGATTAATTGCCTGGGATTAAAATCAAACAGAACTGAGTTCAAAACCTGGCTTAGGATCTGTCTGTGCTTGAGCAAGCCACTTCACTTGTCTACATCTCAGTTTCCTCCTTGGTAAAATGGGGAAAATAATACCTGTGTCATATAAGTGTGTTTGTTTTTGAGGATGATACGGATAGCTTATGCAAAGCACTTGTCCCACAGTAAGCATTCAGAAATTATTAGTCCCATTTCCCTCAGGTACTTGTATCATCTTAGAATTTTTAAGACTTGCTGTCACTGGAATTAACAGCTGCCTTCCTAAGGGAACAACACCCCGATTTTGTGATGGACCCGATCCTCCCTCCCCTTCCCCGTGCTGTCCCAATGGGAGCTGCCAGCTGCTACCTCCCTGTCACAGCGATCGCTCTGGGGCGGACAGAAGAGCCAGACTGCGCTGATCATCGCACCCACTTTCTAGCCTTAATGATTGGTCCAGAAGAGGGAACGTGACCATGATGGAACGATCACATTCTTGGAGGTTTGCTTCTCCCCCACCCCGCCCCCTACAACTAGCCATCAGGGAAGCAAGATAACATGTGCATACCTGATTTTCTGATGGTCCCAGTCTTCTGGAGACATCAGTGCAGAGATCATTCACTGAATGGCAGAACTTTTCATCAAGCGGCCACTGCCTTTCCCATAACAGCCATGGGACTTCTACTTTTGGGTTTGTTCCCACCCAGAGCCCCCATCCCCGCCTGCAGCGCTGGGCCACAGGCTGGCCCAGAGCAGCTGACACTGAACTGAGGACATGCCCCAGGCCCAAAGGAGATTAGAGGAGATTCCTATGTTTACCCTCTGGGCACTGCCCAAGAAAAGATTCCTTGAAAGCTGTGTGCTTTGTTAGAGTTTCTTCCTCCTCTCATTGATGCACCATCACTGAAACAAATAGTTTGGTGAAAAAATAACTGACTCATTTAAAAGTAGAAAAGAATCAAGAAAGGGAAGTTTCAAGGGATAAAAGCAATCTTTCGCTTCTCTAAATTGAATTTCCCATTCCTAAATGGCTTTTCTTTTTTCTTGGAAAAAGAGAAACAAAAGTTTTACTGGGAGGAAAACGGGTGCTTTATCTATTGGAGCTGAGTGGCAGAAGCAGCCCAGGTGGCAGCTTTTCCAGCCCTGCACACTCACTCCCAGTTGTTTAAGCGCATGGAGTCTTTGGTGCAGGTATTTAGGGCACCCAGGAGAGTGTGTGGCATCCCATGTGTCGGGCTGCTGGGCAGCATGTCTTACTTGTAGGTGAGGAACTGAGAGTCCCATCTTGGAAAGATGCGAAAGGTGTGTGTATGGGGAGCAGAGTGCCACGTGACCTGCGTGAGGCCTCGAAAGCTACTCCACACAGTTTCCTTGGCTGACCTTTCTCTTCTTCTTGCTCTAAGCCTGATTTGAATGCTTGGCAAGGTGGGAGGGGAGCTGGTCCAGGAGCTGAGAGGAATGTCCTTCTAGCTCCACCTTGCTGTTCTCCAGGAGGAGGGAACCAGGACCTCACCAGGCAGATTGGGCCGTGCTCACTGGGGAGCAGTGGAGTCTGTCCAGAAAGGTGACAGCCGTGGACCCCACCTCCTTCTGCTTCCTGCTTCTGGGGGCTTGTGGCATGACATGCCATGAAGTCGCTGCCTTCCCACTTCTTTCTCTGTCTCTGGTGCTCTTCTGTCATCGAGCTAAATTAAAAACCCTCACAGTTTGGCCATCAGGCTGTCTGTCTACTCCCTCTCGCATCTTCTGTCGGGATTCTCCTTTACCCTGAAGACTTGGTGGCCAGTAGGCTGTCTGTCTCAGATTTGGACTTTGTGACAGGAAGTGGTCCTATGTATGGCTCTAGAGGAATGCACCAGCCCCACAGGGTCAGACAACCGGGACTGCCAGGGGAGCTGAGCACTTGGTTAATAATTTAATAATATTTTCTTCCATTTGTTCAGTGGGAGCCCCACAGGAAAGAGGCAGATCCACTTTTTCTTACTGCCTTTTTTTTTGAGACAGAGTCTCACTATGTTGCCTGGGCTAGAGTGCCATGATGTCAGCCTAGCTCACAGCAACCTCAAACTCCTGGGCTTAAGCAACCCTCCTGCCTCAGCCTCCCGAGTAGCTGGGACACAAGCATGTGCCACTATGATCAGCTAATTTATATATATATTTATATGTTTATATATAATTCATATCTATATATATTTAGTTGTCCAGCTAATTTCTATTTTTTTAGTAAAGATGGGGTCTTGCTCCTGCTCAGGCTGGTCTTGAACTGCTGAGCTTAAATGATCCTCCCACCTCAGCCTCCCAGAATGCTAGGGTTACAAGCATAAGCCACCGCACCCAGCCCTTACTATGTATCTTGTTCTTCTTGTCTACCAGCAGGCTGGTTAGCAGAGACCCATAAGTGAGACAGAAGTCACTCCCCTCTCACATAAAGTCCCTGCTGTCCTGGCAGCCCTACCCTGCGAAGACATCAGGACCAGGCTCCTTCTGACTTGCAGCTGCTCCATCCCTTGGATGTTGCCTTTGTCTTCATGGTCCAAGATGGTTCACCCTCCCTGCCACCTGCATTCTACCTGGCAGGGAGCACAATGGGCCAGGCATGCCCAGGATGAGCCCCTTTGTCTAAGTCTGGGGGTGGGGGTCAGCAACCACAGCCTGCTGCTGGCCACCTGTTTGCTAAACACAGTTTTAGTGGAACACGGCCACTGTCATTTATTTAGGTGTTATCTATGGCTGCTTTCAACATACAAGGGCAGAGAGGAGCAGCTGCAGCACACTTCTGTTGGAACACAGCCACTCTCTAACATGACCCTGTAAGAGAAAGTCTGCCAACCCCTTTCCTAAGGGTATGATCCAGGGGCTGCCTGCTCCACTTCTGCTCACACTCCAATGGACAGACCATAGTCACACGGCCACCCCTAGCTGCCAGGAAGGTGGACGTAGTCTTTATCTTTGTGACCATATGCCCCGCTGACTGCCAGTCATTACTAAAGGAAGATGGGGAGACTGACTACTAGAGGACAGCCAGCTGTCTGTCTACACAGGGCCATGTGTCCTTCAGCCAGACTGTGGTACCTGTTATTTTCAATCTGAGTTTATGAACAAGGTCCCGACTATTCCTTTATACCCATGTTGGTTTCTTCTGTCATCTCTGCCTTTCTTTCCTCACTGGGACATTTTGCCACAACAGAGCCAGGGTTCCATGCAAGGGCTGACTGTCCTTGAAGAGTCCCTTTCCTAAATGCCTTCAGACTCCAGTGTGGAATAAACACCTGGCTGTGTAGCCTGTCCTCCATTTCCAGTCACAAAGTTGAAGTGGGCACAGTTGAGCTTATGTCACCATTCCATGTCCTTATCAGAACTTGGTCCAAGGCAGTAATTTCCTTCCCCATCTGGGAGTGGAAAGCAACCTCCAGGTAGGTCAGGAACTTACTGCACCCCTTGTTCCCTTGTTGGTGGGCAAGTATGATGCCCCAGTAGGTGAGGTCATACCTCCCCACCCTCCACTGTTCCTGCTATATCCTACCTCTGGTCCCTGTGTGCTCTGGGCCAGGACTTTCTACCATTCTCTGCCACAATGACATCTCATCCCCAGCATGACAGCCCTCAGGATGGAGGATTTCTGAAGCAGGCATGTAGCTTCTTAACACTCTTCCTTCCTAACAAGCCTGCCTCTTTTGAATCCCCTCCTAAGGCCGTATCCAATCTGAAGTCCCATCACATCACCGTGGTTACACTCATGAGATCATATTTACCTCGCTGTGCTCCGGCTTCATCTTGGACGTGCTCATGACTCACGTGTTGTCTGTGCAGAACAACTAAGAATCGGGTCTGGGGGCAATTCTGAAAGCCTGCTATGTGTTATGTGAGGAAAAACTGAAAGAACTATGGGCTCCCAGCTCAGAAAGGGGAAGCCTTGGTCATCACCATCCTCAAATAGTTGAAGGGCTGGCATGTGGAAAAGGGAAGAACATTTCTATTACGTTTCTATAAAATTTGACTTATTAACAATAATGAGTATTACGTCAGTAAGTAGGAAAATAACAAAGGTATACACATGAGATAAGACTTGTTCTGAATGGCCCAGAATGGCAAAACTGGGATCAAAGCAATATACTTTTTCATGAAAAATCAAAAAAGAACCTTTTCAGAAGTAGAGCTCTCCAATACGAAATTAGTTGCTCTGAGAGGTAGAGCAGTTCTTGAAAGGAGCCGTCCCTGGGTCAGATTGGCCGAGACCCAAAGTTAGCAGAATGGGAGCCCATTGCTTGTTCCCACAATTAGCAGGACGTGACTTGTTGACCAGCAGAGAGAACTGTTCCTCCAGGCAAATGGCCAAAGACCTGTGGTCTCGCACGCGAGCCAAGGTTGTCTGGTATCCTGCACGTGGTGCCAGATGTTGCAAGACGGCCAAGGACCTGTGGTTTCGCACTCAAGCCAAGGTTGTTTGTTATCCGCAAACAGTATCAAGCATTGAAGGCCATCTCTTGTGCTATGACTGGAGGAACAGGTGCTCTTGGCCCGTGGGACGTCACGTATCAAAAAGTAGCTGGGAAAATAGCTGGCATGAGAAAATAGCTGCAGGATGCTTGCTCAATTAAACAGTATAAAAATAAAACGACTAGTGCTTTAAGGTGCTGCAGTCTTCAACCGTCTTTGTGTCTGTGTACTTTATTTTTCTGGGACTGCAGCCAACTCTGTCGTGTCTGCGTCTTATGTCTATGTCTTGTGTGTTCATACTCCGTCCTGCAATCGGGCCACGACAGTTCTTGTTTTTGATGAGATGTAAACAAATGATGAATGACCACTTGATTCCAAGAAAGATGAGGGGTTTAACAAAGTGGCTATGCTAGGCAATGTCCCTTTGATGACAAAGAGGAACCTTCTAAATTAGCTTGGCTTCAAGGGGATTTGGGGGAAGAGTTCAGTTCTCATCGAGTCCGAGGAAGAGCTGAACAACTGGGCTACAGGAAGGGTGGGAATGACATCAGCTCCAGACACAGCCCCGCCATGGTCACTTAGCTCCCAGCTTTTTGTCTCTGAGATTTATAATTCAAATCATTTCCCAAGAATCTGAAAAGGCATTAGGAAGAATGTGGATTTGGCTTCCCTGAGTCAGGTGTTCAGTCCAGGTTCAATCAGCGAATAACTCGTGGGAGTGGAGTCTCGTGATTCAAACATAAAAACATGGTGACAGAGACCATCTGTGCAGTGAGTGTAAAAATTCTCAGAAAAGTTGGGTGGGGAAGCCGACACCCTCAAAGTGATATTTAAGGTTCTGTCCAAACTCAGGGCTCACTGATTCTGAGTCAAAAGTAATTTCAAGCAGCTGATGTTCTTCACATGGTTGGAAAGAGGTCAGGACTGATTAATATTCAGCTGAAGGCATGAGCTCAAATTAAACTAAGGGGGCAGCAGAGATAAGAGCAGAGCCATTGGAAGAAGGGGCAAAAAGGGGATCAATGTAGCCCATTGGTTAACTCCCAGACCTTGGTGGTCACCTGCTGGGACATGCATTGTCTAGGACAGAGATACCCATGGGCTGAATCACAAGTTACACTGCAATTTTTAACATCAACTTTAAAATTTTAGAACAGTTTAGATTTGCAGAGAGCTTGCACCAATAATACAAAGCCCCCATAAATCCCATACCTCCTTTCCACTACATCTTACATTACTATGTGCTATAGGCTGAATGCTCATGTCCCCCAAAATTCACATGCTGAAATCCTAAGGCCCAATGTGATGCTATTAGGAAGTGGGGCCTTTGGGACATGATCAGATGATGAGGTGGAGCCCTCACGAATGAAATTAATGACGTTATTGTTATTATTATTATTTTTAAATAATTTAGCATGGCTGGGCATGGTGGCTCATGCCCATAATTTCACTACTTTATGAGGCTGAGGCAGGAGAATCGCTTGAGGCCAGGAGTTCGAGGCCTGCCTCAGCAACAGTAAAACCCCACCTCTACAAAAAATAGAAGAATTATCCAAGCATGGTGGTGCTTGCCTGTAGTCCCAGCTACTAGGCAGGAGGATCGCTTGAGCTCAGGAGTTTGAGGTTGCAGTGAGCTACAATGATGCCACTGCACTATAGCCCAGGTGACTGAGCAACACTGTGTCTCAAAAAAAAATAATAATAATATAATTTACAGTTGGAATCTATATGCCCAGGGAGGCCTCACAAAATCCTCCCGTCTCAGCCTCCCAAAGTGCCAGGATGACAGGCTTGAGCCACTGTGCCTGGCCAGGGATTAGCACCCTTCTGTAGAGGCCTGAGGGAGCTTCCTCACCTCTTCCACCATGCGAGGACGCAGCAAGAAGGTCCCATTTGTGAGAAACAGGCTCTGAACAAACACTGACACTGTAAGTGCCTTGGTTTTGGACTTCTTGCCCTCCAAGATTGTGAGAAACAAGCTTCTGTGGTTTATAAGCTATTTAGTTCGTGGTACTTTGCTATATCAGCCCTAATGGACTCAGACACTGTGGTACATTGTGAGCCCTGTGTTCAGGGGCTTACAGTCCTCGAGGGAATGCCATTGGTCCAGTGACGAGTGTGTAGGGAGTCCAGGGAGGGAGGTTGGGGGAGTCCTTGGGCTACTCCAGGACCCAGCTGGGGGAGCCAAAGCCAGCAGACAGGCAGGGAAGGGGCTGACACTGGTGGGTAGTGGTGCAGTCCACAGCAGCAAGGCCTCCTGCCAGCATCCCAAGGGACTGGGAACAGGTGGCAGATCCTGGGGGTAGGGAGGGGTGCTGTAGAGAGAAGACAAGGGCCTGGCTATGGGCTATAGGAGTCAGGCCAAGCCTCCCCTCTGCAGAGCTAATGTCTTGAGGGCAGGGGCTCAGGTCAGCCTGTGAGGGTCACAGGAAACAAGGCCAGTGCCCACTGGAACCAAAGTCCATGGCAGAGCAGAAGCACAACCTGGGTCACTGGGGCTCAGCTGGGGGCTGCCACCCAGAGCTCCACACACCTCTGCCTCAGGTCATGGCTGTCCCCAACTACAAAGGAACTTGGACCTGGCAGGTGAGGGTGAGGTCAGTGGCCACAGGGACAGGGTACATCCGAGGTCACTGTAGCCCCCTGAGATAAGAGCAGCATGGGCAGATGGGAGACGGGAACTCCAGAAACACAGGTGGGCAGGGGCGTCAGGCCTGACCTACTGGCGCAGAAAGCTCGGGACAGGGAGAAAGGAGAGGTCAGGGCAAGCCACACAAGGAGTTCCTTGAACCCCAGCAGCCCAGCACAGAGGTTGAACACAGCAGCTTCTGGAACCAGATGGCCTGGGTTCAAATCCTGCTTCTGTGTCGTGCCAGCTGTGTGACTTCAGGCAAGTTACTTAACCTGTCTGGCCTCTGATCTCCCTCCACTAGGGATAATCATAGTACCTACCTCACAGGGTTGTTGTAAGGATGGAGTTAAAATACAGAAAACACCGAGAACAGTGTCTGCCCACAGTGTCATGCCAGTATCTGCTAGTATCACAGTTACATAGAGTAAAGCAGTTTGAACATTAACCAATATTCACCAAATTGTACTCCATGAAACTTTCAACTAAGGGAAACTGCCATCAGAAAAGTTCTTTATGGTTGAATAAACTTTGCAAAAGCCTCGTATCACATCCACACCAAGCTCTGACAAGCCCACAGTTAAAAAAACAAAACTGAACTGAAGCACTAAGTAGCCCTGTCCAATCGTATATCACCCAGCATTTTCCACACCTGTGACTCATGGAAACCTCTGAACACCTTGTGGGACGGTGTTGCACAGGACACCAGCTTGGGAAGCGCTATGGGGGAAGGCGGTGAGGCAGGAATCCCCGGGAAACACCATCCGGCCCGGAAGCCATGGAGAGACCCTAGTGCCCAGGGAAGGGAGGAGGGGAGCAGGCTTTGGCGTGGGGACCACAGCAGAAGGGCAAGGTGCATGTGAGGGACCCCAAGGAGAGGGGGACAGACAGGACCAGGCTGCCGTTGCATGTGGAGAGGAAACACAAGGAGGCAGAGCTGAACCTGAGAACTCACATCTTGGAAAAGAGGGAAGTCAGGGCCCAGAGACAGGGGCTGGGGTGGGAGGTGTCCTCCCTTTACTGAAGTCCCCGCTGACTCCATCACCCCTGCCCTGTTAGGGTGGAGAGCCTAGTAGGTGTTCACGGTGTGAGTGGAGAAAGATTTCCCACACTGGTGTTAGGATATATAAAAATAAGAAGTTTATTTTATCTTCTTGGAGGAGAGAGAGTGAGAGAGGGAACAACAAAGAGAAGGTGGGGAGAACAGGGAGACGGTCTGGCATCCCAAAGAAAGAGTGTCACTAGCTAGGGGTGTCACTAGCTAGGCCAAGTGGCCTGAAGATTTTATGGAGACAAAGAGAAAGAAAAAAATTAGTGACTGCTGTCAGTTAAAACAGAAGCGGCTGTGGAGTAATGAGCAAGAGGCTGCAATGTCAGCTTGTCCATCTTTCCTGCTTTTTCTGCTCCTGGAGACCTGGTTGTCTCTGAGCTATAGTCAGACTCATTGCAGGGGATGTGATTTTGCCCCAGATACGGTATGGGGCAGGAGACTGAGGCCTGGAGCTGCCCCCTGCTGTCCCTCCAGGGGCTTCCTGGGAACACCTGGAGGCTGTAACACAAACTCTAAAAGCAGATTCTGGCGAAACAAAGAGAAAGCTCTGCTCTCCCTTTCTGTCCGCTGGGCCCTTCCAGGTGGCTGTGAGCACAGGAGTCCCTGCAGGGCGCCTGCCAGACAGGCAGAGACAGAGCAGGGAGACAGCTCATGACTGATAGGCACACACTGTTAGAAACTGCGGGATTAGGTACTTTCCTGTCACTTCAGCAAGGTGGCTGCTTTCATTCCCAACTGTGGGACTGAGGCTCTAAGCCCTGTGACTTCCCTGAGGAGAGGCCTGGAGAGGGGAAGATGGGGACAGGTGCTTCCTGGGGAAGAACAGCCCACAGAAGGCAAGAGGACATCCGTCCCCGCTACGCACAGATCGTCCTGTTGTAAAACTGACAGCAGTTGCTCAGGGCCCCTGGGCCGAACTCCAGGCCATCACTGAAAGGAAAGCAGAGGTTTCCGTGTGAGCTCCAGGCAGGTTCTGCGGGTAACTACCAGGCTGTGCAGGCCTGGGAAAGTTACTTAATGTCTCTGGTCCACCCTTCCTCTTCAAATTTGATCCTCAAGCCTTCACTTTCTGCTTACCTGGCCACATCAGCTGCAGCAATGACATTTCTACCCCTCGCCCTGGTGCCAAAGGCATCCCCAGCCATGCAGGCCTTCCGCAGGCCATCACCACTGGTGCCCCTGACCCCCCACAGCCCCGTGCCTGGCCCTCACCTCTGGAAGAACTCGTGGCAGCACTGGTACACTTCAAAGCTACTGCTGCTGAGGGTCGTGTTTAGCAGGGATGTGCAGTCGACCTCGGCCGCCCTGGGCACGTAGAGGATCCCTGTGAAGAGAGCAGCTGGTGAGCAGAGCCCCAGCTAGAAATTCACGCCCCAGGTCCTGCGCCCGCCAGGCTGCACTCACCTGCCACGCAGGCGTTCACCAGGGTCACGCAGACGCCCGTGAAGAGTGCCCGGAGCACGATCCGGGAGATGTCGCTCCTCCGTTTTGGGACCATGGAGCCTGCAAAGGGAATAGGAGTGCTCGGGCCGAGGAAACCACGTACCTCTCTGTCCATGGTTTGTGGCTCTGACTATGTCTGCTTACCTCCCTTCCCCTTCTCTGTGGCCAGAGGGACAGACATTGTCCTCCTGGCTGCTTGCTGGGTTTGGGAGCCTTTTCGGCCTGGCTCAGACCCCTAGGTGATGCCCCACGTGCCATTAGTGGCAGACGCAGGAATGAACCTGAGTTGGAGTCAGGCATACTTGGGATTAAACACGGGCTGAGCCACTGACTAGCTTGGGCCATCACTGTACTTCTCCAAGACTCAGTTTCCTCTCTGTAAAATGGGATGATTATGCCACCAGGCAGGTGGCCGTGAGGAGTGCAAATGCTATTTGTAAAGAGCTGAGGACTGACAGAGCCTTCCTGCACACTGCAGTTGTGGGGAAGGCAGGCCAAAGCCTCAGGGGACAAGCCACACCACACCTCCTGTCCTGAGCCAGGCTGCCCTGCAAGGCCAGGTGCTGACCTCCTGGGCAACCCCCAGCAGCGGACAACATGTGCTGGGAGGAACCTCCGTGGGAATCTTGTTCAGACCCTGCCTTGGACAGGCAAGTGAGCTGAGGCCCGTAGGTCCCAGCAGGTTCAGGCCCCCAACTCTCCAGGACACAGGGAAGGGGACTCACTCAGGCCTCCCAGCATGATCCCGATGGAGCTGAAGTTGGCGAACCCACAGAGGGCAAACGTCGTGAGGATTTCTGCTCTGACCTGAAATGCACAGATGAACGGGGCTCCCTCAGGAAGCTCCCTCAGATGGGACAGGGCACCCCCACACGACATAGCTTCTCTGTCCTTAATTTCACCCATATCCTATGTGTCCCTGCCCTTCGAACTCTCTATGCTGCCCCCTCCCAGGCCTTGCACTCCCATCTCTCACTTGTCCTTCAACCCCTTTGTCTTAATCACCAGCCTTTCTGGGTGTGACTGCCTCACTCAGTCTTCTCACTCTGACCCTACTAAGCTCTGTCCTCGACATTCTGTAGCCCTGTGCTTCTGGTTACTGTGCTGTCATGCCAGGAGTGGGGGGAATGTGGCCTACTGGAGACAGTAAGGGAGTTGGAGCCCAGCCAACCTGGCGTCCAGGCTTGTGCCACCAAGTATCAGCTTGAGCAAGTCAACAGCCTTTTCAAGGTTTCCCTTCTCCATCTGCAGTGTGGTAATGATGGCATTTGCCGGGCAGGGCTGTCATAAGGATCATCCCATTTATGGGAAACGCCAGGCATAGAACATGTGTTTAAATAAGGCAGCTGTTCCCTTTTGTTCTGAACAGTTGTTTAATGTCCCAGAAATTAGACTTAAGACCCAAAATGAAATAATTTAGAAAGAAAATTGGTTTAGGTCCATACCTCACACCATATACAACATTAATTCTACATCATTCAAGCAGATAAATATTAATATTTCAAGCATAAAATGATAGAAAATATAAACAATAACTGTAGTTACAAGCTGGTATTATTGCTCTCATTTTGGAGAGGAGCAAAGTGAGGCTCAGAAAGTTTAGGAACCTGAGGATGTTCACAAAGCAAGAAGGTGGGTGTATTAGAATTTGAACTCAGCCCTGTCTGACTCCAAATCCTGGCTGATATGATACTAGTGTATCATATAGTCTCAGGAATTTACCACTTACTAAATAATTTTATAAGTTTAGAAATAATAGAAGCAATCACAAAGGAAAAGCTTTGGTGTAACAAAAATGCCTGTGTTCACTTTAGCATCACATTCACTAAACCTGGAACGATACAGAGCAAGCAAGTTAGCACGGCCCCTGCACAAGGCTGACTCGCAGATTCCTCAGAGATTCCATATTTAAAAACAAAAGCCAATCCCTATATACAAAATGAAGGGGGGAAAAAAAGGAAATACTAGGAAAAATGTAGGTAGGAAATATAACAGAAAAGGGCTAATGTCTTTATAACATAAAGAGTGTATATAAAGATTATTGGGACAGTGTGAAGGCACCTGCACCCCAGCTTTCTCACCTACAGCTGTGCTCCCTATAGCAGCCCCAGGGATCTTAAAATGCAAAATGTCAAATCTTCAGTAACTTCCGACTCCTCTGCCACTCTCCTTTACAATTACCCCCTGCTCTAGCTGGGCTTATCCCCTCTCTGTTCCCTAGACAGACCACATGCTTTTTGCACATGCCTTTTCCTTTGCCTAGAATGTTCTTCACAGCTGCTCCTGGCTGGCCCCGTCTCCTTCCTCCAAGGCTTAGCCTGAATGCCACACCTGAGGGAGGCCTCTGCTGACCAGGTCAGCCAAGGAAGACGCTTCCTTGTTTTTTCTTGTTGTTTTCTTCATAGAACTTACCACAAACTGTGGTTATTTATCTTTTATTCCTTCACTTTCTTGTATTATCTGTGTTTCTCACTAGACGTAAGTTCCATGAGACCAGAGACCATGTCTATCTAATTTCCTACCCCACCCCCAGCCATTTCTTTCTTTCTTTTTTTTTTTTTTTTGAGGTAGGGTCTCCCTCTGTCACCCAGGCTAGAGTGCAATGATGTCATCATAGCTCACAGCAACCTCAAGCTCCTGAGCTCAAGCGACCCTCATGCCTCTGCCTCCCAGAGTGCTGGGACTACAGTCATGTGCCTAACTGCCCCTTTCATCCCCAGTGGCCAGTGCCTAAGTGGTCTCAACAGACACCTGCTGAAAGAACTAAGTTCATAACAAAGACCCCCAAGGGATGTGCCTGCTGTTACCTCTGAGAAAGGGGTGAGACCAGGGCTGAGGGAAAGGAGTGAGGGGAAACTTATGTTTTGTACTTCACACAGACTATTTCTTAACTAAAGACTACATTTCTTTATCATTTAAAAAATAATAAAAAAGACAAGAAAAAATATTTCCCGTTAAGTTTCTAGTCACCCAAATAATGCAAATTAACACAATAAGCGATTATTTGCTCATTAAAGTAGCAAAACTGATTTTTACAAAGAGGCTACAGAAAGCTGTGTGATGTGCAGTAAAGCAAATGCACAGCTGGGTCCTGTCATTTCAGGTGATAGATTCAGCTGCTGCCACCCTTTGGGGAAGTTCCTGGCAGCAACTGCAGAGGACTCATGTGTGACTCAAGCAGCCCACATCTGGGACAGCTTCTGAGGATATGATCTGGGAAAAGGGAAAAGTTCTGCACACAAAGATGTTCATTTCAACACAGTGGATAAATTGTCAAATAATGGAACTAACCTGAATGGCCCAACAGCGGGGGATGTGTTAGATATGTTAGGTCCCATATATGGAAAATGATGCTTAAGTCATGACAGTAAGTAAAGAAAAAGAGCTGGCTGCAACCCAGTGTGGATGCTCTAACGGCAACAATGTAAACGCTCTCTTAAAAAGAATAGAAGAAAATGTAGAGAACGACAGTTGTTATTTTAGGATGTGAGGTTACAGGTAATTTTTTCATTCTCAATAATGTTCCTCGAGCTTGCATTCATTTAGATAGGTTAATTTTATAGAGCTTCTGAGGGCTGTTAAAATAAATTTTAACCAGAAGAGCCAAGCCCCAGACTGAACACAGTATATTAGCGGGGAAGGTGATGGTGAGTCTGCCTGTCTTGCTCCCCCTCCTCGCTCATCGGAAGCTCATGCATGTGCCTTCGGGATGGATGTGGCAGGTATTACACCCTGTTTGCCAACTGAAGGGACAAGGTGCAGCACATGGCCCAATGCCACAGCAGGTGGCCCACCTAAAGCTAGATCTCAGCGATCTCAAACAAGGCTCTTTCTTCACACCTGCATCTCGGCCTCCTAAGAGGCCCCAGGAAAGATGGCAGCAAAGCCCAAAGCCATCCTGTTTCCTAGGACCATAGTATGTGGCAGGTTAAGTGCCACTTCAGTGTGTCTCAGCCAGGCCCAGGGAGCCAGGCTGCAGGGAGGGGAAGGAGACACTCACAGAGATCCATTGCTTCCTGGTGCCAGCCCACGCATCAGCCCCTGCCAGGCGGCGCAGCTTGTAATTGGACAGTTCCTGATAGGCCACAAACTCGTTCACAAACAGCTTGATCCCCAGCAGCTCAGCCACCACAGGGCAGTCCTCCCAGGCGACGCCCATCAGGAAGGCCACAGGCCGCAGGATATAGGAGCAGATGAGCTAGGGCGTGAGGACAAGAGGCATGGCTGGGACCCTGTGCTGGGCCCAGGACACTGCCCACTGCCCACTCAAGGCCATCCCCTCCAAGGGCTGAGCAGGCTGGCTAGACCCACACCTGGAAGCTGAGCCCGTCGATGTCCACCATGTTTCCCATCCAGGAGAGGACAGAGTTGATGAAGGCCAGCAAAGCGAGGTACGCAATCAGGTTGGCAATAATGTTGGTGACCACTTTCACTGAGATGGTGGCTCCACTGCTGACTGCTTCTATGAGGTTCTGAGCATCTCTGTTGTTGCGATCAAAAGCAATCATTATTGGCCTGTCCCCACAAACGGCAAGGGTCTCCGTCCTACTGGCTCACAGAGAAACCTTGGACAGAGAGAATACTTCAAAGCCAGAAGACCCTTGTTGTCCCTCTGAGACCTGGAGCGCAAGAGAGGGGCTGGTCAAAGCCCTGGGATAAGACCCAGGTTTCTAGCATGGTGCTGGCCCACA